AGGGGAACATTTCTAAAAACAAATTTTGGGGGGCTACAGAAATTGTCCAGAAGGCAGGTGGAGATTCAGGTGGAATCTCCTTTCCTGTAATTTGAACCCATTGTTCTGTGTCCTAGCCTCCAGGGCAGCTGGAAACAAGCCTTCTCCCTCTTCCTTATGATATCCTTTCAGCTATTTAAACATGACTAGCGTGAGTGGTTGAAAGTTAACTTTCAAAAGGCATAGCATTCATTTTGCTAATAAGAAAGACTGATCAGATTATTTTTAATGTATGTCAGTTTAATAGATGTTCATTCATTTATCTGTTCAAACCTGCTTTCTGTTATTTTTTCATGCTTGCATTTACGTTGCTTGCATTTCCCTCAAAATTACATCTTATACAATTTTCCCCCTGAATTAGATATATGCATCTCCTGTGAAATATGGCTTTGAATTAAAATGTATCAATAGCACAATAGAATTAACACAAATGAAATAAGACAGTAAATTTATCAATAATATCCATAATAGCACTAAAAGTGAAAATTATTTTAATTGATAACATTTTAGCTTGGGCTGAAATTATTGGGCTGAAACTTCTGTAATAGATTGGAGAGAGAGGGGGGGACGGACATTCAGGCAACCTTCCTAGGTATCAAATGATTGATGCGTGGACTAAACAAGGTTCTAGTGGCCACTGAAAGCAAATTAATCTCTGTTAGTGTAATCACTGTGTTCATAATCTACAGTACACTTCCTTTCACATGCACATCTCTACAGTTGTTAGTTACACTGTAAAGTGTCATTCTGAATCTGTGAATCTCTGTTCAGAAAGGATTCTGTCATGGCAGATTCCATGTATCGGGTTCATTTTTTAATCCATGTAGAAGCAAAAGGAAGCACCCAGTTGTAAGCAGAACACCTGTACAAATTGGTTCCCATTTGAAAGGTTCATCACCCTTTAATATAAATCTCCTCTCTCTTCCCCCAAAAGCACATGGGTTAGCAGAAAAAGATGTGTGAACTGCTGAAGAGAGTTCTCTGGAGATTTTTACTGCAGGGATGGGATGAGCGTGGAGGAGTTTGAATTCAGGTCCTGAATGCCAAAGCTCTTAAACAGTTGCCCTTGAGACACATCTAGAGCAGTAAAAGAAAAGGAGTTTATCTTTTCCAGCTGTTACTGTTATGGCCAGTTTTTTTTTTTGGTTGGGGGGGGGGATTTCAGATCTCATACCTTGTGCTGCTTCTGATACAAGGTGGGAACAATGTCCTCATCACACTGGTATTTTTCTCCATCTCTGTGTGCTGCCAGCACACTGCTAGCATAGAGTCCGCTGGAGCCCGTCAAACGATGCAGGACTACTTCTGGAGATGATACTTTGGGCTCCATGCTGGCAGCATGCTGGCAGTGTGGCAGCAGTGCAGAGAGACAGAGCCCAGAGGAGTTGAGTGGCTACCCAACTCCTCTTAGAAGAAACCAGGAAGGAAGCCGGGAACAGCACAGAAGCATCATGGGATGGGAGCTCACGACCAACCATGGTAAGGGGGCCAAGCAGTACACAGCTCCAGGGTTTCTGCTGCTGTTCCCTGGTTTCTCGACCTCCATGTGATGAGGTCCCAAGATGAGCCTATTCAGTATAGAAGGGATCATTGCTTTGCAAGACATTGTGTCTTAGAGCAAAAGACTGATCAAGATAACATGTCTTTAATCACTCTTTTACTTCTTTACCTGCCTTTTCACTTCTATGAAAGAGAGTTGTGATTTTTTTGTTTTTCATTCTCATGTATAAAGTTAATTTATTTCATTGTTTTTACTCACTCAGTGAGATTATGAGAGTTTTTACACCATCTATTTTTTATCCACCTTTATTTTTTGTTGCAAAACGTTCACTTAAAAACACCCAATGTCAACAAACTCAGGTATTTTTACTGAGCTCATTTTTTTTAAAAAAACAACAACAAATTTTATGAGCAAACACATGCTTCACCAAAGACATCCTGAAGCATTAAAGATCTTGTGATGATTGACTATTTTCTTTATGAAATGTTGCATTGTATGAAGACACTCTTTCTTATCAAGGTTGAGAAATGTGTGGGTATTCATTATGTCCCTATATGAAGCTAAGGATTTGCTTTAGTATAGCATTTTGACTGTACAAGGGTTATCTGGAAAGTAAGGTTACGAGGCATGTAGATCTCACGGGGAATTTTCTCGGTGTAAGTTGGTATCACTGCTGTGAAGCAGAAAGCCAGAGGAAGCAAATGAGCAGTGCCAGTCGTCAGAAGCTTATCAATTGGCAATGTGATGAAGGTTAGAGACGAGCATCCTCATTCCGTTTCCCTCCAAGTGCAAATTTTGTGCTGTAATACGCTAGTTAAATGCTAAGGGCATGAATGCTGCTGCGATTAATCATGAAATCATCTCAGTTTATGGAGAGAACGTAATATCAAGACAGCATGTGACAAAATGGGTATGGAATATATTGTGAGACCATGAAGAAACTTTGTAGAGCTATCCAAAACAAATGTTGTGGGATGCTGACGGCAGGAGTCTGTCATCTTCATGACAATGCACATCTTCACACTGCTCATGCAACACAAGAATTGTTGACATCATTTGGTTGGGATGTTTTAAGCCACTCCTCTCAGAGCCCTGGTCTCTCACCCAGTGACTATCATTTGTTCACTAAATTGAAGGAACACCTTAGTGGAAAAAACATTTCTGATGACAAGGAGGTAAAAATCAAAGTGACAAACTGACTAAAAAAGGTGGAGGGAAACTTCTATGACACAGACATCAAAAACTCGTCCCAAAGATGACAAAATGTATTGAAATCAATTGTGATTATTTGGAAAAATAATGTAATGTCTATGCTACAATCCATTTAAGTTTTATTAAAATATATTGATTCTTTGTAATTTAAAAAATCTCGTAACCTTACTTTCCGGATAACCCTCATACTTGTGAAATCTACTGACCGTTTCCTTGCATACGCTTGCTATTCTTCTGAACTAGATTTTCTTGTAAAGGCCAGATGAAATAATAAATTATTTATAGAATTGTTTGATGAATTCTCTTTGTGTGTATTCCATTTTCTCAAGCTGGTATGGTTCATACAGCATGTGCCTGTATATGGATGCACATACATATAGCTCCTAAGTCAAATTCACCATTCCTTGATATACATCCGCCCCATCATCATTTTTTCCACAACACAAGTTCTATATATAATGTTTCTAAGCTCTCAATGATGGTGTTACTTCCAGTCTAACCAGTCTTTAAAAAAATAACAAAAAACAGAATTGGTTTTCAGCATTCTATGAATGTCCCATTCCTCTTCAGCTAGTTCTATTTGACAGAGATTTGTCATAGAGGTCTGTTAGATTGTATAGCTGGACAAGTGGCACTCACAACAAAATACGTATATGTGCACTGTTATTTCTGCTCTTCATCCTTTTTTAAAGTTATGTAGTATTGGACTAGGACAGCTTCTATTCAGTAGTATGTCTTCTTGATGTATCTTCTGAATGAGCAGCAGTTTACTTAGAGACCCTAATGATACACTGAGAGACCCTGTCTCACCCTGGAAGCTAAGCAGAGTTAATCCTAGTTAGTATTTTGATGGATGGCAGCCTGTCAATACTAGGTTTTATGTTTCAGAGAAGAGAAATGGCAAAACCACTTCTGAGTATCCCTTCCACAAGAAAACCCTAAGAAATTCAAGTCTTGGCATAAGATTATACACACTTCATTTTCTTTCTCCAAGGACAGTGACCTCTGTTCTTACGTCTAAGAAAGAGCAGACATATACACTCCCATACTCTGGAGTGCATCTTCTTTCCTTTCTACCCACTGCCTGGCCTGACACTCTTCATTCTGATGATAGCCAATAGCTAAAAGAAATGGGGACATATGCAGAAGAGGAAGCCAAGCAATAGTTCAGAGAGAAAGATAAAAATTTGGAAGTTAGACTGAGGGTGTAACATGCATGCATTATCCTAAAGTACAAGAATTTGAAGGATAAAAAGGTTGTTCTCCTTTAGTGAAGAAAATTTGGATGAGCATGTTCTTCTGCCTGCCTTGTTGTTCCTCTGGGAATGATGAATTCATTGGGGTTCTTCAAAAAAAGATAGTGGAGAAGATCTCTCTATTCAGTATTAGAGGGAAATAGGAAATTTTCCAGCATTTCCTGGGCTGATACTTGAGATTTCATTCATGCTTTGAAACAAAGGTTTGAGTGCTACCACATGCATTAGGTCTGTGTGATACGTGAAGGAACCTTCATATAATACAATTTTCACCTCTAATTTGGAACCCTATTTTTCTTATCTGAAATGAATGATATCTTGAACTACTGCTTGAAACACACCATAAAATTGTGTTAGAGGACCTTCACATTCCTAGAGAAATGTTTTCCCCAGGACACCAGCATGATTCTATGTTCAACTTCTGGCTGAACTTCAAGTGGAATCTTGTTGGCATGTACACTTTTCTACCACAATATATACTTTAGATTATAGTACAGATGATGCATGCATGTATGTACACATAACATCCACACAGTGTGTTTCAAAAGTTTTCGTATTTCAGCTTAGAATGAGTTCTATTTTGGTTTTATTTAGAGGAATTGAGAGTTATCCACACTGCAGGTGGCATATTTAAGGTTCCAGGATTGTAGTGTATTTGTACTTGAATATTTGGCCATTGACTTGGAAACAGACATGGGCTGACTCCAGTTCATTCAGTCGAATTCTCCTTTGTCAGGGACAGGGAGCAAGGCCAGCACAGCTGAAGCATTTGAGCCAGCTCTTGACTATTTCCAAATAAAAATGCTTTGAGTATAAGTTTATTTTTCCTCCTCCTCTTTTTTTAGTCCTAAATTTAGCCTCACAAAGAAGTTCCTTTGGCGGTGAGGGGATGGCAATAGTGACAAAATAGATTTTGTGGGTATTTCTGAAATTTCCAAGTTGAAAAAAACCTGAGAGATTTCATTACATTCTTGCCTGTATTTTGTCCACAGCCCAACGCTCTGCTCATGAACTTCCGATGGTTGAGAGGCAAGATGTTGACAGCTGCCTTGTTTATGGTGGGCAACAGATGATCCTAAGTGGGCAGAATTTCACTGCAGAATCTAAGGTCATATTCACAGAGAAAACACCAGGTATGCTATTCTTTGCATTATTTATATAATGGGTCTGATCACAAAAGTCAGTGCTTTATAGGACTGGAATGGATAAGCCCAGGATGACCAGAAGTAAAGATAAAAAACAAAAGATTTTATTAGCTATTAGAACAATACAAAACCTTCACTGGAAAATAGGAAAACTCTTTTAGATGAAGACAATCAGAAAAAGGGCTTTATCTATTTGTTAACATTCTGCTTTTCCCCCCAGATTTGGGACTCTTGGGCCTTATAATTTAAAAGAACAATATAATTAAAAACACACAAAAAGTGAATATTAAAATAGAATTAAACTATTCAAAGTATTTAAACAATCCACACCTCAGTAAAATAATACATGAATTTTAATCTTAGTAACCATTGAGACCTACTGTATTGTAGAGACCTTCGGATTTTTTTTAAAAGGAGGTAGGCAGACTTTTGTCCCCTGTATGATAATTTCAACCAAACATAATTCACCTATTGAAAGTGAAGAAACTCTCTTTGTGATGTATTGAAAAGGACAAAAGTACAATGCAAAGTTAAGTTTTCCCTATTAGAGATGCAATGTACTGTCTTCAAATGACATGAGGATATATGGGTCTTTAGAGAGAATTCATCGATTACAACCTCAGATAAACATCTGTCACTTGTAATGAAACATGAGAAGTATGAAGTCCTTCTAGCAAGTTGTTTCACTTTTGAGAAAGGCTTCCCTTCTGCACAAGATGGCAACCCAACTACTTCCATTGCAATGCTATTCTTTTCCCCACTTTTCACTACTGCTGACTCGGCCAGAGAGCCAGATTTGTTCCATGGGCTACCAGTTGCTGAATGACCACAGATACATCTCCTCAAAGTCACTCTGACTATTCTTTTCCTGGCATTCTGTGTAGCCTACTATGAATAGCCACAGGGATCCTTTGATTTCTGACCTGAATCATACCTGACCTTAAAAAAAACTTCACCATGGACTCATTGTTTTCAGTAAGTATGTAGCACACAAGTTCAAACAATGGGGATGACTAACAAGAATGCAGCACACTTCATTCACATACAATTATAGAGCAGTTAAGACTAACCTCTAAAGCTCTGATTCATTTGGAGACTACTTAGTAATAGCTGCCACTCTGTTTTGTAATTTGAAATTTCTCAGAGATTCACCACAGTTTGCCAATTTGCACTGGGTTTTCTTAACCTCACCTCACCTTATCTCCCCCAAAGAGGACACATTGGAAGCATATTCTGAAATGTGCAAGAAGCAGCCGTTAGTGCTGTTTATTTTAATTTTAAAAAATTAAACCTGGCTGTATCTGTGTGGATTCTATGATTCTATGACTTATACAAATGCCTAGATGTACATATATGATGGTGCTGCTGGTAGGAACTGGATCTATCCAGTTTTCTTTTATGTTTATGAATAAGAAGTCCTTTATTAGTATTTGCTTATGGCAGCATTGCAAATGTTTAGAATATGTCAACAACTCACAAAACATTATCCTGTTTGTTCACATCCAAGCCATTTGTGCAATATGTACGGGAGGAAGGAGAACCAAGTCCAATTCATATATCTTTTTGGTCTCAGGTGACCAGGAGAACATGCGTCTTGATGTGTGGCACATTCCAAAAAATGGTTGCCACTATGGGAAAGGCCTGCTTCCAGGCTCCTGACAGAAAGCAATGCATATGATGCAGTAGAACCAGCAGGCAAAACCTTTTGTGATAATATTGTGATTGTACAGATCTATATCATGGAAGGAGATATGCCTGATTATATTGTTGCAAGTTTTGGACTTGTATGTCAGCAACAAGATGTCGAGCCAGGTCAGGTAGCTAATAAATAGTTTCTTCCTCACCCCTGTAATATGTAGCCAGGTATTCCACTCAGCTTCCTGGATGCCATATTTTCCAAACCAAGCAGAAGAGTAGCCTAATGTGAAGTAGATTACATGAATCTAAATGCAAGCTGAGTATGTTGACTAAGGCTGTTGCAAAACACAAGCAAAACACACATATAACTGGAAGATTTTGTACCCCATCCCACCCCCACTCCTGCTTTATGGAATTCTGTATATTTTCAAAAAGGTTAGATTATCTACTTTAAAATGTGTCCTCAGCCATCCTTCACAAGTTGCCCCTATTCCAATCTGTAATGCATAGTGAGATGCAGAGAAGTCTGAACATAGATTGCAGGAGATGGTCCCTTACTGCAGAGCTTCCCTTGAGAAAGACTTACAACAGGCATGTGGTGTGCTGGCACTAGTGCTTATTATGTGAATGATGCACATACACATTCTTTCCATGTATGCAGATAATAGAGCCATCCATAGCAACTGATCCAGTTTGCACATTTCCTGCTAAGATGCTGATAAGTAGCTAAGAGTTAAATAAAGCCACAATAAATCTACTGTGGGTGGCTTGTGCATCCTTCTTGGTGATGTGTCATGGTTAATTTCCTTTTTCAGCTATCTAAGTGTAATTGAAAGCTTGCAGTTTTATGAAAGAAGAAAAAGGGGTGGGGGAGAACAGGGGGGGAGAACACATTGGAAGCACTTTCTTATTTCTTCATTTCACTTTGATGACTCATGAGGACATGCAACATCTTATTGAACTTTCACTTATCACACAAGATCACCCTAGCAATGTTGTCTGAGTATCACTAAGTAAGGAGATAGTAAGCATGATGAGGTTGGTGTTGATCTTGTGTAGTGCAAAGATTCTAGGAATTTAATGCATTTTACAGGAGATCGTGCATGTTGTGTTGCATCATGTGCATTACCTTCTTTCAACTTTTGTAATGCTCTCACCAGGATCTGGGCCTTTTTCTTTTGTTAGCATGCATCAAATCAACTCCAAATTCTGGCTATCATATGAATGAGAGACCTCAAAGTTATCCTGTTATCAACAACCCTGCTCTGCTCTTAGAAATTCAAAGCAGTGGCTTCTTTGATTGATTCCATCAACTTGTAATAGGATTTCCCCTAACGCCATCTTTCTCATGATATGCTTTGAGAGCACTTTGACTGCCATGGCCAAGAATGCACTGAAACTCATACACCATTTCCAGAGTCAGTGTAGTCTAGCAGTTGCTTCATATGACCTGTCTGATATATCATTTCCAAAGGGTATCATTTGACTTAATTTATAATTGAGTATTCAAGTGCTGGCCTCAATTTCCCCTTAGAGTATTGAACAGCAACTGTTTATTAGTACAAAGCGCAGAGGGTGATTATGGAACTGGAAAATAGGACATAGATCTGCAAAATATCTGTATGAACAAACCTATAAATGTAGGTGACCATTTGGCAAATCATTATACAATTTGTTTCCATTGTTCTACTAATGGTGTCTGTGATGCCTGTCAGCCTTTTGACCAAAAAAGAAAAAAAAGGGATGGGCTATATTTTATATACAGAACCAGCATTACGTTGTGGTTTGAGCAAACAGACCCCCTGAGTCTTAGTTGTGTTGCTGATAGATAGAATAACTTTATTGTCATTGTAGGTAGGACAGTCTCTACTGGGTTCTCTTAGCCAATGCTGCCGTATGGGTGCCCCAGGCCAGATCCTCCTTAACAATAACACTCAAGAACCTGAAACTGGCCACCCACTCCTCTTGGTCTCCATTTATGACCAAGTGCTGGATTTCTGGTTCTGTTCTTTCTGTAGCTCCTTGGTCTTATTTATGTTAAGAACCAGATTATTGTTCCTTCACCATGGGAGTAGCCGATCCGTCTCATCTTGATAGACGGACTCATCTCCTTCAGAGCTAAGCCCCACCATGATTGTACCATCCGCAAATTTAGTAATTGTAGATGAGGGTACAATCATATCTGTACAAAGTATAAAGCAGAGGGCTGTGTTGAGTGTGAGAGCTGAAGAGGTATGATTACCTAATCTAACCCTTTGGGAAGATCAGACAAGAAGTCCATAATCCAGGAATAGATTGAACCTGACAGTTCAAGATCCGCAAGTTTAGACAATAGTCTATGTGGGAGGAACACAGAACTAAAGTCTGCAAAAAGCATCCTCACATAGTTTTCCCATCATTCCAGGTGACTCAGAGCTGTGTGGAGCATGATGACTATGGTGTCCTCTATCAATCTGTTGGCTCTATATGCAAAATGATGTTTGTCCAATGTATGTGGAAGGCAAGAAATTGTATGCCTACAGACCAGTGTTTCAACGCACTTCATTCTGGTGGAAGTGAGTGCCAGTGGTCTGTAATTCTAAAAATTTCCAGTAGGAAACTTATTTGGTACCAGAGCAATGATTGAGGCCTTCAAACAAGATGGAATAATAGGCTGAGAAAAAGACTGGTTAAAAACCACAGTAAAAACACTGACCAATAGGTCAGCACAGTCTTTAAGCACCCGGCCAGAAATGCCATCTGGTCCAGAGACCTTCCTAGGATTTCCAGCCTTCAGAACATGCTTTACCTCATGCTCTTCCATGGTGAGGAGGGAGCTGCAACTGCCCAGTGGCTGAATTGCATCTACCTCTGGTGGGCTTACTTCAAAGCGAGCCAAAAAGTGATTAAGCTCCATTGCCAATGAGGCATCCCCCTCAACAGGAATGTCATTGTTTGATTTACAGTTAGTAATTTGTTGAATCCCCTGTCACACCTTACTGTGGAAATGATCACCTTGGTTTCTTCTTTTCAACTGCTGCAATTGGTAAGAAAAGAGGGTTCTGTCTTAGGATTACATTGTGGGTCAGCAATAAAGGAAGAGCGCCACTGAGTATATTTGTATACAAACCTCAGTGTTTCACTGGGGCCAGTTTTTTTTAGGGATAGTTGTGTGGATTTGGATACCTGCATCTGTGTTTCTGTGCATTTACAAGTCTCAGGCCAGTATCACCTGTGGTTCTTGGGATGCCAAAGTTTGAGCAGAGCTTTAAGCAAAGCTAGAAGTGTAGCCAAATATAAATTTCCAAATCTGGACTCTGAAAAGAAATAGATAACAAATTCCACATGCCCATATCAGTATCTTCATAGTT